GCTCTGATTCTGGGAGAGCTAAATAGCTTCCTCTCACTATCATTGAGGGAAACATTAAATCTGGCTAACATAAGCAGCCTGCACAATTCATGATTCCTGAAGGAACAATTAAGTAACCTGGAGGGGTTTCTGGGACTAACTTTGTCATATGAGGCCCAAGTGATCCCCTCTGTGGCTCAGAGTGCCCAGTACCAACTTTGGTTGGTACAACAATTACACCCTTTCCTGGATAGGATTAGCTTAGCTAGTGCGGTTTTTTCCTTCAATTATTTGTATACCTTTCATAAAGCTGACACTGCATGGAAATCCCAATGGAAAACTGTAGAGAATCTCTCTCCAGAGAGGTGGGCAGCTGGAATCTGAGAACTTGCTTTAGCTAAAAATGATAATAAATGCAGCAGCAGAGTAATCCAAGGGGTGTTGAAAAGAGGTAACTTCAATTTTGTGTGGTTCCCTTTGCTCTTTTAAAGGTAAAGGGACCCCTGACCATTAGGTCCAGTCGTGGCCGACTCTGGGGTTGCGGCACTCATCTCGCTTTATTGGCCGAGGGAGCCGGCGTACAGCTTCCGGGTCAGTTGGCCACCATGACTAAGCCGCTTCTGGCAAACCAGAGCAGCGCACAGAAACGCCGTTTACCTTCCCGCCAGAGCAGTACCTATTTATCTACTTGCACTTTGACGTGCTTTCGAACTGCTAGGTTGGCAGGAGCAGGGACCGAGCAATGGGAGCTCACCCCGTCGTGGGGATTCGAACCGCCGACCTTCTGATCGGCAAGTCCTAGGCTCTGTGGTTTAACCCACAGCGCCACCAGTGTCCCTTTTTGCTCTCTTATATCAATGCTATCATCCCTCCCACCTCCAATCACTCAACCCCTTACAGAGAGGTTCCGTAAGAAGGCCAGTCTGGTGCAATGGTTAGGGTGTCAGGCTAGGACCTGAGAGACAAGGGTTCAAATCCCCACTTGGCCATAAAGCTCACTGGGAACAACCGTCATGGACTGGCTGGATGCAGAGAAGAGGTGGGAGGTGCCAGCTGGGGAACCCCAGGGGAAGGAAGCTCAGAGCCAGGGGTATTGGATGATGATGAGTGGTCAGAGGGAGAAGAGGGGAACAGACAGGGAGGAGGAGGTGTCTGAAGCTGAAGAGGCAACAGGGTTTAGTGAGCAGGAAGAGTCTGTGGCAGAGAGCAGTCCAGACTCAGAGGCAGCAGTAGAGAGGGGCCAAGAGGCAGAGGAGAGGCAGGCTGCTGAGGAAGCCAGCTCCCCTTCCCTCTGGTCTCCCAGAACACGCAGAGAAGTGAAAAGAGCAGGGGAGAGATTGGTTGCAAGCAGATGGCAGTCTCTGGTTGCTTGGGGGGGGGGAGACCCTGAAGAGAACTTAGGCATCTCTGGGAAGGCAGGAACTTTCAGTCCCCACAACTGCTTCATTAGAGCAAGACCTACTGAGAAGAATTGCTGTGATCACTAGGCCTGTGCTGTTTTGGTTTCTTTGAATAAGGAGTTAACTTCAACAAACACTGTTTGTTTATTACTGATCTACACCTGACTCTGACTCCTGACAGCGACCCTGGGCCACTCACTGTTTCTCAGCCTAACCTACCCCACAAGGTTGTTGTGCGGATTAAATGAGGAGGGGGGAGAGCAGCATATGACATCTTGAGCTTTTTGGGGAAGAAAGGTGGGGTAGAAATGCAAGGCAATAAAATAAATAAGACAACTAGACGTTGTGAACTAAATGTCTTTCAAATATTTACTCTCCGCAATTCCAGAATACAAATGTTGTAATGTATTTGCAGACTTTGCTTTGAGTAATTAACAACCGTTGTACTCCGGTTCTGTATTTGTTTTTCTCATACTTACCTAAAACAAAACAAAACCAAAAAAATACATTTGCAAAAAGAGAAGCAAGCAGAAGGTACCAGCAGTGCATAACAGAGAAAGCTGTGGTTCTTGGTGCAAGAATTGCAACCGAACGCCAAACACAACCCATTTGGGTTTATGGAAAGCTGAGGGGCTGTGGAGTCTGCTGTAGTTCAAGTGGGCTTGTTAGTGCCATCTAGTGGTTTCCGGTTTTTGGTTTCTGACAGCACAAAGCTGAAAATTCCCAAAGTTCAGGGAGCTTCAACGGTATCTGCCGGGGTCTGTGCTTTTCTTTCCTTGGAAAAACGTCCATTGGCATGAGAGCCAGGCATTCTAGAGCAGGGGTCAGCAACCTTTTTCAGCCTTTTTCAGTCCACCGTCCCTCAGACTATGTGGGGGGCCGGACTATATTTTGAAAAAAATAATAATGAACGAATTTCTATGCCCCACAAATAACCCAGAGAAGCATTTTAAATAAAAGCACACATTCTGCTCATGTAAAAACACCAAACAAATTAAATACCATGAAAATCCCTGAAACGAGAAGTAAGCGACTAGAAATATTATCTTATAAAATTAAACTAAATAACAAAAATCAAAAAGTTTAAGGGAAAAAATGAGAAAAACTTAGAATTGAACAAAGCCTTAAAGGGATGCCGGCTACAAACCTTGTTTCACTGAACTATTCAGTTTCCTCAGCAGGAAATAGAGAAATCATAAACCTTAAATGACCATTCTACTCGTGTATAAACACGCTGATTCACAGACCGTCCGCAGGCTGGATTGAGAAGGTGATTGGGCCGCATCCGGCCCCCCAGACCTTAGTTTGCCTACCCCTGTTCTAGAACTCCCAGGTGGAAAGAGACACATTGCTTTCTTGATGATCAGAGCAGTGAGGAGCATAAAAGGGCAGTTTGGGCCACTCACACACACCCTTGCAAAAAAGTGAACTACATCATTAGAGTCAGAGCATCTCAAACCTCTTAACAGCAACGCTGGATGTGGCCATGGCTCTGCTGGAGAAGGAACAGCGTTAAGAACCTCCCTGCTTTTCCTCCAAGCTTCTGGGATCACAACCAGTTCTCCACAAGCCCTGTGAAGCTTGCGGCTGCCATGATGTGCTTTGCTTTTCAAAACAATTACAGGCTGAGGAAAGCAAATGAGATCAGAGTGGTGTTGTCAGAAGGCATCGAGGCAGAGGACATCTCCAAGGGGACTGAGCTTGACAGAGACTTTTTCTTCCCTCCCTTATCATCGGCTGCTGAGACATTAGCGCTCTCCCTGTTCCCATTGCCCTGGCTGAGGATGAATCAAGTGTTGTCAGTGTCAGACCTCTTTGTTGAAAAAGGGAATTAAAAGGGAGGGAACAGGGCAAGATTGGAGGGGTTGAAGGAGAATGGGGGAACACTGGTTTGGAAAGCCATTTTTGGCTCCAAGATCTGCCAGACTAAGTTCTCCTTATTCGTGGAAATATCTTCTTCCCATCTACTGAATGTCACAAGTGTCAACCAGTAGTCCATGTCTTTCTTTCTTTCTTTCTTTCTTTTTTTGGGCAATGTTCTCCTCTATCCCATGATAGGTCCCGTAATACCCACAGATAGACCAGATTCAACATGGAACATGTGGGAAAACTCTACCTGGGAAGCAGGGTTCATATCATACAATGGGTCCATTGCCAACTATACTGATGTCCAATTCAGTCAACTCAGGCTTTCATGGCACTCACTAGACTGGGAAGGGGGAAACCTCCAGACTGCAGGCCCATCTTGTCCCCCAAGTTTGGCCCATGAGGCCATTTCCCCCAAGCCATGACTCTCTGTCAATCAGCTGACAGCATTGTGATGTCAGCTGATGAGTGGGGCTGAATTCTAGGTCACTTGTCAAATTTGGCCCACGGGGCGAATCCTGCTAAGGGCTAGATGATCCTTGGGGTCCTTCCCAATACTACAGTTCCATGCCCTCCAACGTTTCTCCAGTAAAAATAGGGACAACCTATTCCATAATAATAATAATTCTAGTATTTATACCCTGCCCATTTGATTGAGCTGCCCGAGCCACTCTGGGCAGCTAGCAACATACCGTATTTTTTGCTCTATAAGACTCACTTTTTCCCTCCTAAAAAGTAAGGGGAAATATGTGTGCGTCCTATGGAGCGAATGCAGGCTGCGCAGCTATCCCAGAAGCCAGAACAGCAAGAGGGATTGCTGCTTTCGCTGCACAGCGATCCCTCTTGCTGTTCTGGCTTCTGGGATTCAGAATTCCCCCCCCGCCCTTGTTTTCCTCCTCCAAAAACTACATGCGTCTTATGGCCTGGTGCGTCTTATAGAGTGAAAAATACGGTATATAAAAACATAATAAAACATTAAACATTTTAAAACTTCCCTATATTCCTCTTTTGTCCAACCAGTCCATGACAAGGGGGAACGTTCCGGGTTCAACCTCCAGTATCTGCAAGCTGGGCTTGGAACGTTCCTTGACTGCAACCCTGGAGAGCAACTGCAGGTCAGTGTTGGCAATACTAAGCTTGATGGACAATGTCCGGGATCAGTATTTATTTACTACGGTATTTCATAAAATTCATATGCCTCTTGATCATAACAAACCTCAAAGCAGTATAGTGCTTCCTGGTTTGATGCAGCAGGGCTCTGTGCTAAGAAACCCCCACATTGCGTAATTACCGTATTTTTCACTCTATAAGACACACTTTTTCCCTCCTAAAAAGTAAGGGGAAATGTGCGTGCATCTTATGGAGCAAATGCAGGCTGCACAGCTATCCCAGAAGCCAGAACAGAGAGAGGGATCACTGCACAGCGATCCCTCTCGCTGTTCTAGCTTCTGGCTTAGCCGCGCGAAGCCTCTTCAGGACAGGGGGAGCCTTCATCCCGCTGCCCTGAAGAGGCTTCCTGCGGCTATCCCAGAAGCCAGAACAGCAAGAGGGATCGCTGCGCAGCGAAAGCAGCGATCCCTCTTGCTGTTCTGGCTTCTGGGATTCAGAATTTTTTTTTCTTGTTTTCCTCCTCCAAAAACTGGATGCGTCTTATGGTCTGGTGCGTCTTATAGAGCGAAAAATACAGTATATTTTGTGGTGCGACTTGGCCAAAAAGCCAGACTTAATAGAGAAATAAAGGACAGGAGGCTCCACTTTTCGCTTACAGTATGTTTTATTTCTCAGTGCATTAAATAAGAAAGTTTTGGTATCTATGGGTTCTTTAATAGTGTCTCCAATAGTACAAAACATTTCATACGCAGTAATGAAACCCATAGCAAATTGGGAGGGTGGGAGAAGATACAATTAACAGCTGGGAGGTCTGAACAGTAATGATGCACGATCTGTAGGCAAAAGCTTTCTTTTCCCTTTAGGGGAACTATTTCCCTTTAGGGGTCAGCATATGGAAGCCTCCAGGCTGAACCAGGTTTCAAAACTGCCCTGCCCACATCAGGTTTCCACATCTCAGACCCAAAGCGAGGTCTGCAGGAAGCTGCAACACGAACTTTGGAAAGCAGGCTGCTTTGCGAAGGAGAGACCCAAGCTGGCTTCCGTGTCTGCCTGAAATCTAGCTGCCTAACCGGAGATCACTGCTCTATGGCCTGATAGACCAATGGAGCTCATGAAACAGGGCGAAAGCTCAATAAACCTTGGTAGCTGAACATCAGCGAGACCACACGACCAGTTGCGAAGGCAAGGAGTTTATAACAAGACGAGATATTTGCGAACATTTAAAACCACACAGAGATCCGGCCTAAACCGTCTTGCATGGCTCAAAACAGCTCAGAACGAGCTTTGTGGAAATTAATAGCACCTTTCCCGTACGTTTGATTCCACAGCAAACGGCGGGTTTTGTGGACATCCCTGTAAACACTAAAGCAGAAGGGGCGGGCGGCTGCCCCCCCTCAAAAAGGATATTGCAGAGATGGAAACGTTTGCGAAAATGTTGAGCAAAACGACCAAGGGGCTGGAACAATTCCCCGATATGAGGAAAGCTCGCCATATTTATGACTTTTAGTTTAGGGAGAAAGGTGAGTACGAAGTGAGGTTATAGAGATGTTTTTTTAAAAATATACATGGTGTGGAGAGGTATTAGTGCAGTGTAGTGTTTAATTTGTTGAACATGGCAGAACTGGGTTCAAATTTCCACTCATCCATGTAGCTCACTGGGTGTGACTTAGGACCAGTCACTGCCTCTCAGCCCAAACTATCTTACAGTGGGTGGGGATTATACGAGAGGGAGAACCATGTACACCATCTTGAGCTCCTGGAGAACCAGCAAGGATCTAAATGCAACAAATGTAAGTCTTAGGACAGGCATAAACATAAAGAATGGTATTGACACCCACAAGAGATGAGATGGCAGCCATCTTGGACAGCTTTAAAAGAGGATTAAACCCTTAAAATGATTTTCTTATCTTCTTCTTGCACGCTGGGAGCGTACTTGCAGAGGCAAAGAAGAGTGTAGGAATCCCCAGTTATTACTTCTCTCCGACAAAGTGGCATGAGATGGGGGAGGATTTCTGATTTATAGCCAAGATCATGCTTCTTAACCCCTGGCCTGGGACTTATCTTACGGGTTGGAATGCGGCTTTGAGTTCTCAGCTCAAAGAAAGGACCCGAATGTTTAAAATAACCGCATTACTAACAGGGGTAGTCAGTCTTTTAAAAGGGTGTGTGTAAACTCTGGCAGAACCAGTTCCTTATTGGCCTTGCATCCTGAGAGAATGCACTTAGGATCACAGAATTGTAGCCTTGGGAGAGTCCCAGAGGGTCAGCCTCTCCAACTGCCTGCAATCACTTTTATTGGTTTGGACTAGTAAATACTGTTGGTTGAACCAATGAACCAGAATTCCCCTGGTAGGCTCTTTTCACTAGTGCATGCGTTTGTAGGTACGCTTTCTCCCAATAGATGCGTTTATTTATTTTTGTAAACACTGGTGGATGAGAGAACTGCCCTGCAGAGCATGGATACGTGTGAATTTTGTAGGACGGCTGTGTTTCGCTTCTCATGCTGTGCGATGTCGATAAATTCTGTGTGCAATTTCCCCCCCATCCTGAGTGGAGAGAGAAAGAAGGAATAGAGAAGCCTGCTTGGTGTGCATGAATTCTCTGGGACTGCACCCTTGCTCATATGTGAAACGAGAGATCTGGGACTCCAATCACCACCACTGCTCTCCTGGAAAAGCTGAAATGTCTCCTTCCTTTGTTTCTTCATATACTTACATGGCTGTGTTTCATTTTTTCTCCTTTCGAGTTTGCAGGAAGCTTGTTGGGCTACCTTTCAAAGAAACTTTCTGCTAGATCTGTGATTTGTTCTGGAGTCTGTCAGGTCTGTCTTGTACTAGTTCCCCGATCAAACGTTTTGGTGCCTAATGAAAAACCCACCTAAAATTAAATTGGTACAACAGCCACATCCAGCATGAATTCACAGAATCACAGCTAAATATTCCAGAATGCAGGCAGATTCCACCGCAGACACAAAAGGGTACCTCGGCAAGCAGGGGTCGATGCAAAAGCTTCCATGAAGGTGGAAAATTTGGGCAGATCTTGCATCAAGAGCACCCTCTAAAAAGTTTCTTTATCGCACATGGCCTTTGGGGTTTCTGGGCATGACTGTGGTCATCTGAGATGGACACTGACACAGGGGCAGAGATAGGGCAATGTAGTAACTGTGAAGTATACATTTTAAAGATCAAAGAGAGTTCAAGGAATGCCTTCCTATTCCGACGGGTTGATCCATCCTCCTGTCCTGCAGGGACCTCTGTGCCTAAATCTCTGGAAGATCTTCAGCCCTCGCTGTTGGACCTATCAATAAAAGGGCTCATTACAGTGGGACACCTCCCAGATGCGGAAAAAAATACACATGTTGCAATTTTGTCTGACCTCGGCCCCTGCACAGTTTTATTTCCAAAGAGGAAACTTTCCTCCTTGAGATGGAGCAAAATTGTTTCGTTCAGCCTGGACACCGAAATCCACCTCTGAGGGCCTTCTGGCAGTTCCCTCACTGCAAAAAGTAAGGTTACAGGGAACTAGGCAGAGGGCCTTCTTGGTGGTGGCACCCGCCCTGTAGAACTATTTGACTTTTTGTATATGCTGGAAGCCGCCCAGAGTGGTTGGGGCAACCCAGTCAGATGGATGGGGTGCAAATAAAATTATTATTATTATTATTATTATTATTATTATTATTATTATTTCATTTGAAGCAAAATGGTGATGAAAGCTGTACTGATCCAATCAGTGCAAAGAAAGCCTTCTGTGCAAAGCAGACCCACAAAATCAAATACCTGGAGGAAAAGGGTTTGAATAAACGGAAACTTTAAACTAGCAGGGCTGATCTAGCAGCAGATCTCCAGGGATCCAGGACAGAGTCCTTCCCAGCCCTCACTGGAGCTGCTGGGGTTTGAGCCTGGGATGTTCTGCATATAAAACAACGGGAGTTAAGTTAAGGCATGACCAACTTGTCCCCTTGATTTCAATGGGTTCAAGGCATGGCCAGCCGAAGCTCAATGAGCACATGACGCAACTCAGCTCCCTTATAACCTGGCAATGGAGACCTTGCAGTCTTTCCCAGTGGCGCCACTGAGGATCGAACCTGCGGCCTTCTGCAAGGCAAATCAGGCGCTCAGCCCCTGAGCTACGAGCCCTCCCCCAGCACAGCCTCTGCATGCAATTTGTCATTGTGGTTAGACACAATGGATCAGGGCCCTTACTGGTGTCCTATTTCCTTCGGCTCCTTTTCCCTTTGCTCTCGCTGCCGTCCAAAAGCGAGGACAGAATCTGGTTGGAGTGATGCCGCTTGGTTTTCACGTTTGCGCGGAGAGGGGCGCCCAGGATCACGTCTTGTCCCGAGCCTGGTTCAACGGAAGACAAAGAATCTGAAAACAAAGGAAAGCCAGGGACAGGGAGAGGCAGTCAGGCCTGGGGGCCAGATGTGGCCCTCAGGATCTCTCAATGCGGCCCTTGGGATTCTCCCTGGGGCCACCCCCCTCACTGGACCCAATCTATCCCTTCCACAGGTGCGAATGCCTGGCTGGAATGCATCTCTGATGCCACTCTGTGGCAATGTGTCAATGGAGAGAGATGTGATGTGGCAGGAACTGGGAGAAAGAAACCAATTTTGCACAGTTGCAGAAGCTTACTGTACTGAAGGTAAGCATCATAGCCTTTGCATATCATCCACTTTTACTTCTAGCCCTGCCCACCCTCTGCATGCAGTTTTCCCCACCCCACCCCAGCAAAGGAATTATTATTATTTATCATTAAAAGGTAAAGGTACCCCTGCCCGTACGGGCTAGTCTTGCCAGACTCTAGGGTTGTGCGCCCATCTCACTCTATAGGCCGTGGGCCAGCGCTGTCCGGAGACACTTCCGGGTCATGTGGCCAGCGTGACATCGCTGCTCTGGCGAGCCAGAGCCGCACACGGAAACGCCGTTTACCTTCCCGCTTGTAAGCGGTCCCTATTTATCTACTTGCACCCGGGGGTGCTTTCGAACTGCTAGGTTGGCAGGCGCTGGGACCGAACGACGGGAGCGCACCCCGCCGCGGGGATTCGAACCGCCGACCTTTCGATCGGCAAGCCCTAGGCGCTGAGGCTTTTACCCACAGCGCCACCCGCGTCCCCTATTATTTATCATTACTATTTATTAATTACATTTCTATACTGCCCTTCACCCAATGATTGGAAACGCGTTTGTATTTATTTATTTATATCCCTTCTTTTCCCCCGGCCTGGGACTCAAGGCAGCTTACGCAAATTAAAACAAGGCAGAAAGCTAAAAACATATCAAAGATCATGCTTAAAAAAGTGATTAAGCTGTAACAGGATTAAAACAATAGAAAAACAAATCTATTAAAATACAGATAACAAAAACAGCACAGCACTATTGAAAGCCCTTTCCTTAAAAAAACAGCCTAACCCCAAAGCCTGTCGGAATAAAACAGTCTTCACTTGTCGGTGGAATAATAAGGAGGGAGCCTGTCTGGCGTCTCTAGGGAGGGAGTTGCGGAGTCTGGGAGCGGCCACCGAGAAGTCTTGCTTACCGTGATCTGTAAGCTACTCAGGGAGCTTTTTCTGATGGAAGAGCTGCATAAATATTATTCAGTCAAAGGCTCCTCCTCTCTCCCCATAAGGCAAAGCTGAGCAGAACATTTCCCCATCACTCACCATGGATTCCAATCATATGCTCTAAAATTAACACCCTCTCTGCTAAAATCTTCAGGGCCTCCCGAAGCTGTTGGACACCTTCGCCCTACAAAGGAGAGGAGGTCTGGGTTGCTGGAGGCAAAGCATTGGTTCATGCATGCAAGGGACACCCGTTCCTTAGGGAAATTGAAACCACCCTGCTTAGGCTTCTTCCTTCCTTACTAAAACAGCCAACTTGTATCTGGACTGCAGATGGGGGGGGCATGACATTGTAGAATATATATATAGATGGTTGATTGATAATCTATATATCCATGCACACTAGGGAGAAGGGAAGGCTGCCTTCAGTATAGGTCTCTAGAATATGTCCTTAGGACTCCCGTCTGCAGAACTCTCAGTTAACCATGGTTAATTAACAACTAGCAGCCTGAAACCTGGCATTGCATGGAAATTGCAGTTTTGAAAGGTTGCGTGTGTCATCTTGACTCAAAATGGCACTCATATGCGTCCAAGCATAGCTGAAAACCTGTTCACTCATGGTTCAAAATTTGGTCATGATATCTTAGGTAAAGGTAAAGGTAAAGGGACCCCTGACCATTAGGTCCAGTTGTGGCCGACTCTGGGGTTGTGGCGCTCATCTCGCTTTATTGGCTGAGGGAGCTGGCGTACAGCTTCCGTTTACCTTCCCGCCGGAGAGGTACCTATTTATCTACTTGTACTTTGACATACTTTCGAACTGCTAGGTTGGCAGGAGCAGGGACCGAGCAATGGGAGCTCACCCCGTTGCAGGGATTCGAACCGCCAAGCTTCTGATCGGCAAGTCCTAGGCTCTGTGGTTTAACCCACAGCGCCCCCCACGTCCCCATGATATCTTAAGAAGCATCCAAATGCATAGAGAACAAGCGACTTTCCAAAATATACAGCAGATTATTGGGTGGTGGTGTTTTTTAACGTTGCCATTTTCGGAGAGTTAGTGTTGCCTGGCCATTCTAGATTCTTATGTTTTCGGCCATTAAAACGTATCTCTTCTGGGATCTATTTTAGCTGCAAGGCACTTGGCAGGGACTTTGCATACACAATACATAAAGGACCACAAGGCAAATCCTACAATATTAAGGAGCCTTCGCCAACTTGGTGCCCTCTGGAGGTCGGCTCCCATTGGCAACAGCCAGCAACAGCGCAGCTGCGCAGCCTGATGGAAGTTGTAGTCCACAACCTCTGGAGAGCATCAGGCTGTCGAAGGCAGATCTTAAATACCTACTAGCAAGGGAAGGGGGAGAGTGCAGCAACAATAAAGAACTGGTTGTGCTCTTACATCTGCGCCTTTGTCTCCTTCGTCACCTTTTTTACCGGGTTCCCCCTAAAAAAGCAAAGAACACCGGGAAAGAATGAGGAACAGAAGCAGAAGAAGAATCCCAGTCGCTAACTAGGGGGTGTTTCAAACAAACTGTTTACTGAACATTGAGCCTGATTTGTTTGCAAGGGGAACTGATGGTGTTCGCTGTTTGGGTGAGTTTTTGCTTTGATTTGTTGGTGGGGAGGTTAGCAAGAGTTATCCCACACTCCCAAACCAGCTTTCATTGCAACTGGATCCCAATGGGAAATAGTGATAGTTTACATGCGTTGCCACAAGGGAACCCCTTGACTTTCATAGAACTTCCTTTGAAGCAAATGGTTGTGGGTGGCAGATTTTGCACAGGGATAGCTGATACTAACATGCTCCCCCAGGAGGCAGTGGTGACCACCAACATGGATGGACTGGACAAATTCTGAGGTGGAGGGTGGGGGATAAGGCTATCTGTGGCTACTAGCCATGATGGCTCTGCTCTGCCTCCATGGTTAGAAGATATTAGAAATATGCTGGAGATATAACGAGGCAGAGGGTACGTTTTATCATACGTGGTGGACTTGTAAAAGGGTAAAAGAGTATTGGGAAATGATACATAATGAATTGAAAATAATGTTTAGAAGTATATTTCCATAAAAAAAACAAACCAGAATCGTTGGGGATAATTCAGAGGGAAATTGCCAGGTGTCAAAAAAGACTATTTTTGTATGCTACTACTATGGCCCGTGTTTCGCTAGCTCAAAAATGGAATATGAGCGAAGTCCTAACCAAAGAAGAACGGCAACTTCAACTAATGGAATAAGCGCAACTTACAGATTTAACATATAGAATAAGAGAAGAAGAAGAATATAGCGTTTAAAGAAGACTGGAAAATGTTTACTGGTTATATGGGTGAAAATTGTGTGCATTTAAAAATGCTGGTAGCATAAATTCAACAGTGTAAATAAGTTTTGATGGTGTAACAATGGATTACTGAATGGCTTAATTTGTTTAAAATATGTGCGATCAAAGGAGGACTAGATGGGCCACTGGTCTGATCCAGCAGGGATCTTCTTAGGTTCTTATCATCCCTGATCATTGGTCATGCTGGCCGGGGCTGATGGGAGAGACAACTGGGGAGCCCAAATTTCCCCACCCCTGATTTCCTTGCAGTTGCCAAGCAAGGCCACCTAAATACATGAATGAAGGAGGCACCAGGTGATTTGCCATGCATGGACGTGAAGGTGAACTCACCCTTTCTCCTCGATCTCCTTTGGAGCCTTTTGATCCGGGCTGTCCAGGAGAACCAGGCATGCCCTGCAGGGAAGAAAGAGAAGGGGGTAGCCGCCGAGTGTAGGAATGCTTTGCTCCCATACAATATATTGTGCGGTGGGAAAAGACCTTGATCTGGGAGCGATTAGAACTTCAGAAAAAGCAGCCCTCTCTTGAAAGGTATCTTCTGTTTATTAGGCAAACCTGCCCCACATCTGACGTCGCGTGAGATAGCAACGAGGGGCAGGTGGGCGTGGTTCAGCCTGGTGGGCCAAAGGAGGGGAGAGAACCATGGGCTGGAAGTTCCCAACCCCTGAGATAAGACCTTGGGCCTTTGGGAATGGGGGAAGGTGTGAGTAGGGTTGAGGCAGGAGAAATAAGGCGGTTAGAAGATTGCCACCGTTTTCATCTGTGAGAGAGCTGGTTTGCCTACCTGCAGCCCAGGTGCGCCAATAGGTCCCAGGGCCCCTTTGGGACCTGAAGATCCAGGTGGCCCTAGTCGAGGGGAGAAAATAGATCATCAGCTGAGAATATTAGGAGCTAGTCTGGATTATCGGCACAAGAAAGTATCGGATACGGCCTTACTTGAACAACCGGAATTCGGATTAAGAGTCCTTAGAGGCCAAAGCAAAAAAGATAAATTCTATTTTGGTATGGCATGGTTCTCCTTTTATTCTTAAAAGACATTGGGTTATAGCCAATGCTAGTCGTACTCAGAGCAGACCCACTGAAATTGATGGGTACAACTATCTTAGGTCTATTAATCTCAGTGAATGAAATCTACTCTGAATGGAACATACAGTGTTAAAAACACCTCAGGTTACAGACTCCGCTAACCTGGAAGTAGTACCTCGGGTTAAGAATTTTACCTCAGGATGAGAACAGAAATCGCGTGCCGGGGGCCGGCGGCAGCAGGAGGCCCCATTAGCTAAAGTGATACCTCAGGTTAAGAACTGTTTCAGGTTACGAACAGACCTCTGGAATGAATTAAGTTCGTAACTAGAGGTACTACTGTAGTTAGACAGAGCCCAAAGAACTCTAAGAAGAGGAGAACAGCCAATGGCCTATCTAGCCCAGCATCCTGTTCTCACAGTGGCCAAGCAGATGCCTCCATGGCAACCTCAAGCAGGACTTGAGCGCAAGGCCCTCTCCCCTCCTGTAGTTTCCAGCAACTGGTATTCAGAAGCATTGCTGCCTCCAGCTGTGAAGTCAGAGCACAGCCATCATGACTAGTAGCCATTGAAGAAAGCCAGCTTCCTGGATATTGTCCGCTAATACTTTACACATGGACAACAGCACCCAGCTAACCCTCTCGCATTCATCCCCGGACATCTGCACAACCCACCATTTTTATTTTATTTTTGCTATGGCCCTTTTTTAAAATTTGTTTAATCATTTTTCCGATGCAAATATCAACCACAAAAGACACATACAACAAAAACCATAATGACAATAATAACACAATTTGACGATTCAGATTTGAATACATTGATATACCTACGACTACACCTTTTTAAACAATATTTTCCCACCTCTCTCTCCTCCCCCTATTTTTGCTATGGCCCTTGACCTTTCCCAGCTCCAGAATCGGAAGTTTGCAACTCTGGACGAGAAATTCTCTCCGTGTGTCTTTTTTTCTAACAAGGAAGCGTTTTAATTTTTTTTAAGAGCGTCTTCCTGGCATGGAGCTGAAGTGCTTGGCAGAATGAGAACACTCATTTGAACATATCTACTTGTTATGCAGCATTGTTAAGGAGATGTCTCCTAATGGCTTTATCCCACTTAGGGAGTGTGTGGGTGGGGGGATTATAATTTCTTCCAGACGCCGACTATTAATTACACTTGCAGTTCGTCGGGGGGGGGGGACGGATGAGGACTCCTTCCAAACTCAGCTTTTAATTGTTTCGGATGAAACCCCCACAAGCATCAGGCACCCACCAGGGCAATTGAATCAGCCTCCATAATTAATGCAGCCCTCATATATCAAAGTCAGGGATGAAATGAAATGAAGTCTAAATGGATGAATGTGGTATTAAGAACGGGGGGGGGGACACTGGGGGCCCTCTTGCGCTCTTGACGGGAGGTCATTTCTGAGTGCCTCTCATGTAAAACCACTTAAGACTTTTTCCTTCTTTAAATCAACATTTTTTTAAAAAAATGGAAGTGCACGCTCAAGTCTAATAGCTGGGATTCTTCGTAGAATTGTAGAGTTGGAAGGAATCCCATGGAGTAATCTAGTCCATGCTCCTGCAAAGCAGGAATTTCAGCTAAAGAATCCATGGGAGTGCCTGGTTTTGTGGTTCCGGCGGCTGTCCCTGTTGCTTCCCACTCCCTGAGCCCACCTCTTTCAACCAGATCTATTTACCTGGAAGTCCAACGGGCCCAGGTGCGCCACGAGGCCCAGGCAAACCAGCCAGGATGGTGTCAATCACGGTGGATGCCAGCTGTGGCTCCCCATCTGCATTAAGAGAGAATCAAGGAGATGAAACCGCTGTAACTGAGGAGCATGGGAATTTGGTGAATGTTTCCCATCGTTTGGTGACATCGTCGTGATTTGGGGCTCGTCCCCACTTCCACTAGCCCCATTTGGGGGGGAGGTTCCAGCAATTTTCTCCTTGTCTCGTTCCTTTCCCAGGAAAAACCTGGCCTTTAGCGATAAATCGGAACAAACAGCATTCTGCGGGGAAACCCCTGAATTGCCATTTGTTCCAACTGAGCGCTAAATAGAGGCTTCCCTCCTGGGGAAAGCAGCGGAACAAGAGGTAAACCCTTTGTTAGCTGCCTTGAGCAAGTCAGTGAAAAATTATTACAGTGGTACCTTGGTTCTCAAATGCCTTGGTACTCAAACAACGTGAAACCCAAACACAGCAAACCCAGAAGTGTTCCGGTTTAGGAACTTTTTTCAGAAGCCGAACGTGCTCCGTTTTGAGTGTTACACCTCCAATTTGAGTGCCATACTTCCATTTTGAGTGTTACGCTGAGGTCTGTCTGTTTTTGCTATTTATTTTGCATTTTTGTGGCTCTTTTTCTTTTGTTTTTGTGACTGTGTGAAACCCAGTTCAGCTACTGATTGATTGATTGATTGTGTGACTGCAGTACATTGTTTATTGCTTTCATTTTATGAATCAATGGTCCCGTTAGATAGTAAAATCAATGTTAAATTGCCGTTTTAGGGGTTGTTTTTAAAAGTCTGGAACAGATTAATTCATTTTGCAGTACTTTCTATGGGAAAGCATGCCTTGGTTTTGGAATACTTTGGTTTTGGAACGGACTTCCGGAACGGATTAAGTTTGAGAACCAAGGTACCACTGTACAGAAGGCTAATAATAATACTAGCTGGAAAGTAATATACAAAATCAGGTCTGTTAAAACAGAGATAGATTAAAAACAGTACAGCACTATTTAAAAGTGGGACCTAATCTAACTGCTTCAGTAATCAGCATGTATGGATGCTTCCCCACCCTTATTCTGGACGGTCCATCGTTTGGATCCATGTGAGGCTAAGAGATCATAGTTGCGGATTGCTCCAGAATGGAGCCTGCTTTCTTTACCACGGATGGCTGAAAAAGTGACAGGCAATTGCTGACAGCAGGAAGCTCTGGTGCATTGAAAGCATGCTGGATTGTCACAATCAGGCACACCCACACCCAAAAATACCCCAAATAGGTCTGTTCTTCCCATAATTGTTTTGGGAGTGTGTGTCGTCCGTAAGCAGGGCTCTACTTCCCTCTGCTGTTGGCAGTTTGGAATCCCATGTTATCGGTTTTTGGGTGTGCTGCATTATGCAAAGGAATCTTTTATGCATTAGGTCTCCACAGCTTGAAGAACCGGCGTTTCCAGCCAGCCTCAAGGGAAGGGAACTTGCGCAAAAGCCAATAAACAAAACTAGCCAAGCTCCAATGTTTGCAAGAGCAAGGCCAGCTTTGATACAAGGCAGTATAGATCCCTGCAGGATCTGAACCAAGGACCATCTAGGCCAGTGTTTCCTGAATTCGGGTCTCCTGCTGTTTTGGACTACAACTCCCATTATCTAGCAAGGCCAGTGGTCAGGGATGATGGGAATTGTAATCCAAAAACAGCTGGAGACCCACGTTTGCGAAACCCTGATCTAGTCCAACATCCTGTTCCCCAAAGTGGCCAAACAGATATCGTATTTTTCGCTCTAGGATGCGCCCGACCATAGGACGCACCTTGTTTTAGAGGGGGAGAAGAAGAAGAAAAATTCTCCCCCTCTCTGCTCAGTGCCCCTTCAGCGAAGCGGCAGGAGAAACGGAGCCCCTTCCACTTCTCCTCCCGCTTCGCTGAAGGGGCGCTGCGCAGCTCTCCCTCTCTGCTGAAGCCAGGAGAGTCTTGCTCTCCCAGCTTCAGCAAAAGGAACTCGAAGCCTCCAGAGTGCAGCGGGAACTGGCGATGCACTCCAAAGGCTTCAGGCGGCTATCCCTGAAGTGTGGAGAGCGAGAGGGGTCGGTGCGCTCTCCAGGCTTCAGCGAAAGCAAAGCGTAGCCTCCGGAGCGCAGAGGGAGAGCTCCCTCTGCGCTTCGGAGGCTTCGCGTTGCTATCGCTGAAGCCAAGGAGCCTGCATTCGCTCCATAGGACGGACACACATTTCCCCTTAATTTTTGGAGGGGGAAAAGTGTGTCCTATAGAGCGAAAAATACGGTACTTATTGTGAAGCGCATGAGCAGGACGTGAGGGCAACAGCATTTCTCCACATTGCTGGTGTTCCAGCAAGTAGAATTCAAAGATACCTCATCTCAAAGATATCTCATCCACGACTGGAGGCAGCAACGCTTCTGAATACCACAGGAAGAAGACTCTTGTGTTCGAATCCTGCTTGAGGGTTTGCCATGGGGTCATCTGCTTGGCCACTGTGAGAACAGGATGCTGGACTGGCCATTGGCCATTGGCCTGATCCAGTAAGCTCTTAAGTTCTTATGAGAGCAAGCTATGTAGAGGCTGCTTGGTGTGTCACACTTGCTTTATATATTTATTCTAAAAATGCACATTCCTGAATTCTCAAAAGAAACCCAAGGCAGCTAGCAAGCCCAAACATCACACACTGTTGAACTATATTGCTATCCCCGTGCCAAGTCCCAATCATATTGTCACCAAACACCAAGCTAAGAATTAGTGCCTGAGCGTGCTTTCCCCCTCTCCACAACTCCCAGGGTTCTGCCTCTTAGATTTGTGAGCCTGAGAACAGGAGACCTCGCAGGGTCTTCTCACCGATCGTTGTAAACCACTCTGGGAACCTTTTGGGGATGATCAGTTCCAGCCAGCATGACCAGTGGCCAAGCACGTTGTCCTAAAACATCTGGATGCAGCCAGATTGACCACTGCCCATGGATGGAGAAATACCGTATTTTTCCCTCTATAACACGCAGATTTTTTCTCCTAAAAAGGAAGGGGAAATGTCTGTGCGTGTTATGGAGCGAATGTGTGGTCCCTGGAGCCAAAAAATCAAGCAAAAGTCAAATCGCTCTTCACGGAGAAGGGAAACCTGAAAAGAGGAAGTGGCAGCTTTCCTGCATTCTGCCTCAGGGTCTTACTGCCCACCCTCCTCTGTTTCGTTGCTGTGATTGCTGAAACGGAACAAAGAGCAGGGAAAGCCCCTCCCCTCCAGGCAAGCAGAGGGGAAAGTGTCGTCTCTGTGCTCCGGTACTGCTGGGGGAGAGGGAGAGAGAGTGGGGGAGGGAGAGGGAGAGGGGGGAAGGGAGAGGGAGAGAGGGAGAGAGAGAGAGAGAGAGAGAGAGAGAGAGAGAGAGAGATGGCTGGCTTGGGGGGGAACTTTTGCCTCCCACCCGTTAAATCCCTCTCCAGCATTCTTAGCCAGCTGCTTCTCTGCACACCCCTCTCATGTCCCTTCTTTGTTTTTCCTTCGCTCCCCACTTAAAATGTGGTTACAAAGCATAGATCAACATGGATCCTCAGGATCTTTGCATTGGGTCACCCCAAATTCACCATCAGATCACATAGCATGTCCATGGCTACAGCCTGCACCAAAAAAATCACGCACCCACTGTTGCCTGGGGCTGCAATGGTGCAAAAACGTGGTTAAAAAGCATGGATCCACATGGATCCTCAGGATCTTTGCATTGGGTCACCCCAAATTCACCATCAGATCACATAGCATGTCCATGGCTACAGCCTGCACCAAAAAAATCACGCACCCACTGTTGCCTGGGGCTGCAATGGTGCAAACACGTGGTTAAAAAGCATGGATCCACATGGATCCTCAGGATCTTTGCATTGGGTCACCCCAAATTCACCATCAGATCACATAGCATGTCCATGGCTACAGCCTGCACCAAAAAAATCACGCACCCACTGTTGCCTGGGGCTGCAATGGTGCAAAAACGTGGTTACAAAGCATGGATCCACAGGGATTCTCAGGATCTTTGCATTGGGTCACCCCAAATTCACCATCAGATCACATAGCATGTCCATGGCTACAGCCTGCACCCAAAAAATCACGCACCCACTGTTGCCTGGGGCTGCAATGGTGCAAAAACGTGGTTACAAAGCATGGATCCACAGGAATTATCAGGATTTTTGCATTGGGTCACCCCAAATTCACCATCAGATCACATGTCTGTGGCCACAGCATGAAGCACAAAAATGATACATCCACTGTTTCATTCAGAATGTTTTTTCCCTTGTTTTCCTCCTCTAAAAACGATGTGCGTGTTATGGTCAGGTGCGTGTTATAGAGCGAAAAATACGGTATGTCAGACTTTTCCCTTCACGTTTGGTTTAAGAAGGCCTTAAAGGTAAAGGTACCCTTGACCATTAGGTCCAGTCATGGACGACTCTGGGGTTGCGCGCTCATCTCGCTCTATAGGCTGAGGGAGCCGGCATTTGTCCACAGACAGCTTCTGGGTCATGTGGCCAGCATGACTAAGCCACTTCTGGCAAACCAGAGCAGCGCACGGAACGCCGTTTGCCTTCCCGCTGGAGTGGTATCTATTTATCTACTTGCACTTTGACGTGCTTTCGAACTGCTAGGTTGGCAGGAGCAGGGACCGAGCAATGGGAGTTCACCCCGTCGCGGGGATTCGAACCGCCAACCTTCTGATTGGCAAGTCCTAGGCTCTGTGTTTTAACCCACAGCGCCACCTGCGTCCCTAAGAAGGCCTTACATATCACAATTTCAGAAAAGTTTGCTAATGTATTTCCTAGCGATACAAAAAATTGGCACAAGAAAATTTTTATTCTGAAAGCGTGGCCTAGAGAAAAAGGTTTGAGGGCCACTGGATGAAGCAGATGATTGGCTCCTCTTCGAAATGGAAGGAGACCTACTTTCTTTCTCAGCGTTGGGCTGCAGCGAGTACAGAACTCCTTGCTGGAAGGTTAACGGGAAGCCAGGAGATGCTGGTGGTCCTGGGGGTCCCGGAGGGCCAGGAATGCCGGTTTCACCTGGATATCCCCTGGGTCCTGGAGGTCCAAGCAGCCCTGCGAACCAGAACAAAGAGAAGTCAGGGATTACCCAGGCATTTGGAGAATGCTAGCACTGCATGCACTTGAGATAGCAAGGTCCTGTTCCGGGTGCCAAGGCGTCACCCTGGAACAAGAGGAGCACTGATTGAGAGCCTCTCCCCCAGCACTAAAGCCTGGCTGGACATGCGCTGCTGTTCCATCGCCAAGTCACAGCCGCGCCACAGCTGGAACATCAAGCACCATGTGTTTACATGCAAGTTCCAGATGTTCCAGGAGGCAGTCATGGTGGATCAAGGAGCAAGAGGTCCTCAGTGTGTCAGCTTTGAGCCTCGGATGGGAGTCCGAGTTGAGCTGGAGACAGGGAACGGTGACTATGAAGCCAGAAGTCAAGACCAGCCAGCAAGCAGAGAGCCACACCATAAATTTAAAGAGCATCCAACACACATTGAAAGCACATGGTTTCTACCAAAGAGTCCTGGGAAGCTATCATTCTTGGCAATGGTGGTGGTTGTTGTTGATTTCTACCCCACCCATCTGACTGGCTTGCCCCAGCCACTCTTGGGCGGCTTCCAACAAAATATACAAAGACACAACAGAGCATTGCACATTAAACACTTCCCTAAATAGGGCTGCCTTCAGGTGTCTTCTAAAAGTTGTGTGGTTCTTTATCTCCTTGACATCTGATGGGAGCGCATTCCACAGTGTGGGCACCACTACCAAAAAGGCCCTCTTCTTGGTTCCCTACAACTTCACTTCTTGCTGTGAGGAAACTGCCAGACGGCATCAGAGCAGGACCTCAGTGTCTGGGCTGAACGATGGGGGTGGAGACACACCTTCAGGTATCCAGGGCCAAGGCTGGTTAGGGCTTTAAAAGTCAGCACCTGTCAGGGGCTGGGCAGGAATGTTGGAGACCGCCTCCTGATCCTGACCCTTCCAGGGAGGAGGAAGAGGAACACAGTATAGACTTATAACAGTGGTTTGAGGGAGGTCAAAGCTCAGGGGCAGATGAAGGGGAAAGTTGGGAAATAATGGGAGAGGAGGAGCAGGCAGAACCAGAGCAGCAGCTGGCTGACATGTTGTCACTAGAAAGCATCTCAGGCCCACCATCTCCCAGAATCTGGTGAGCATTAAAAGTAGGAGAGCAAAGAGCTCGAAGACAGAAGGCACTTAGCGGCACCCGTAGAGGAGGTGATGATGATGACGAATGAGGAAGCGGGAAAGAAGGGGATGGAGATTCACTCGGGACAACGCCATTATCCAAGAGGCTGGGTTCCATAGCCTCTCTCTGTAAAGTTTGAAATAAAAAAGGACTGCAAGAAACTTTTCCTTGTCTTTATACTTTCCTGGACGACCAGCCAGGGGCCGCTGACAGCATCCTAACAGCACCAACACTTTGAATTGTGCTCGGAAATGTACTGGGAGCCAATGTAGATCTTTCAGGACTGGTGTGATAGGGTCCCGACAGCCACTCCCAGTCACCAGTGTGACAGTTGTGTTCTGGATTAGTTGTAGTTTCCGAGTCACCTTCAAGGGTAGCTCCACATAGAGCGCATTGCAGTAGTCCAAGCGGGAGATAACCAGGGCGTGTACCACTCTGGTGAAACAGTGCACAAGCAGGTAGGGTCTCAGCTGGTGTACCAGATGGAGCTGGTAGACAGCCACCTATGGGTCTGTGAGGGGGAAACTACATCCCTGTCTGGAGATGCTGGGGGGTTGAACCCAGGATATTCTGTTTGCAGGGAAGACACTCTACTACTGAGCTGCGGCCAGACTCACCTGGTGGTCCAGACGGGCCCCTCTCACCAGTCTCTCCCTTTTCACCTTTCGGGCCTTGCGGTCCTGGTTTCCCAGCTGGCCCCGGTAATCCTGAAAACATTGAGGGCACAAACAAGTTTGGCAGAAAAGACAAGAAGCTGCACTCCTTTGAAGAGAAGATGTATGTGTGAAGCTGAAAACAAATATGTAACATGGAAGAAAGCACCTTGAGCAACACCCAGGTCAACCCAAGCGGTGGGCTTGTAGGATTCAAAATGAAAACACACACAAACATACACTGGCAGACTCTGCAAGAAAATGCCTTCTGGATGAATGACTGAAAATGTCATCAAACACCATCCAAAATGGGAAGAGGCTCTCTCCTGTCTCTGGAGAAGAAAGGTGGTCTCCAGTGCTAGTCATACCAGGAACTCAGCTACACAGCTGCCAGCAGAACGTTTTAAGTGTGTTTTAAGTGCATTATACAAACGTAACACCAGATGGTGCTGATGAGCTAATGGCAAATTCCATATGCAGGGATACCTTGGTTTGCATACGTCTTGGTTTGCATACATTCTGGATTACAAACACGCCAAACCCGGAAGTGCATGTCCCAGTTTGCAACCTTTTTTGGGATTACAACCCATTTTGGGGGGGATTACAAACAATTTTGGGGGGGGGAGGCCCCATTGGCGAAAGCGCGCCTTGGGTTACAACCTGTTTTGGTTTACAAACAGACCTCCGGAACAGATTATGGTTGTAAACCAAGGTACCACTGTACTACATATTTTACAACTTTTTAAAAAAAACATTTTCACAGTGTTTTTTCTATCTGTTTAGATTCAGCCGTGGGCTGTTTGTTGCCTTTGTAACTTCCTGGTCCGCTACTACAGTAAACAATATACAGTGGTGCCTCGCAAGACGAAATTAATTCGTTCCGCAAGTCTCTTCGTCTTGCGGTTTTTTCGTCTTGCGATGCACGGTTTCCCATAGGAATGCATTGAAAATCAATTAATGCGTTCCTAGGGAAACCGCCTTCAGACCAGGTCCGGGGACAGTCTGTCCCCGGACCTCTTCTGAAGGCTGGGGGGGGGACAAGGGCTTTTCTTCCCACCCCCAGCATTTTAAAAAACCCTGGGACAGCGGAGGACTTCTCCGCTGTCCGGGGCGATCTTAAAATGCTGGCGGGCGGCATTTTAAAATCGCCCCGGACAGCAGAGGACTTCTCCGCTGTCCGGGGCGATTTAAAAGCCCCTGGGAAGGCAGGCAGGGGGGACAAAGACTTTTGCCCCCCGCCAGCCTTCAGAAGAGGTCCAGGACCTCTTCTGAAGGCGGGCGGGGGGCGAAAGTCTTTGCTCTCCCCCCCCCCGCCTGCCTTCAAAAGCCCTCCGGGACAGGCAGGCAGGGGGGAAGCAAAGACTTTCGCCCCTGCCCGCCTTCAGAAGGTGTTCCCGCCCCCCGCCCCGCTTCGGAACAGCTTTCCGAAGTGGGGCGGCTGGGGCAGATGTCCCCGCCCCCCCTCCCCGCTTCGGAACAGCTTTCCGAAGTGGGGCGGCTGGGGCAGATGTCCCCGCCCCCCCTCCCCGCTTCGGAACAGCTTTCCGAAGTGGGGCGGCTGGGGCAGATGTCCCCGCCCCCCTCCCCGCTTCGGAACAGCTTTCCGAAGTGGGGCGGCTGGGGCAGATGTCCCCGCCCCCCCTCCCCGCTTCGGAACAGCTTTCCGAAGTGGGGCGGCTGGGGCAGATGTCCCCGCCCCCCCTCCCCGCTTCGGAACAGCTTTCCGAAGTGGGGCGGCTGGGGCAGGTGTCCCGCCCCCCCTCCCCGCTTCGGAACAGCTTTCCGAAGTGGGGCGGCTGGGGCAGATGTCCCGCCCCCCTCCCCGCTTCGGAACAGCTTTCCGAAGTGGGGCGACTGGGGCAGATGTCCCCGCCCCCCCTCCCCGCTTCGGAACAGCTTTCCGAAGTGGGGCGGCTGGGGCAGATGTCCCCGCCCCCCCTCCCCGCTTCGGAACAGCTTTCCGAAGTGGGGCGGCTGGGGCAGGTGTCCCCACCCCCCCTCCCCGCTTCGGAACAGCTTTCCGAAGTGGGGCGGCTGGGGCAGGTGTCCCCACCCCCCCCTTCGGAACAGCGTTTTAAAATGCTGGGGGTCGGGAGCGAAGCGCTGCCGACCCCCAGCATTTTAAAATCTCCCCGTGTCCCGGGAAGATTTTAAAATGCTGGGGGTCGGGCTGCCGACCCCCAGCATTTTAAAACCTTCCCGGGACACGGGGAGATTTTAAAATGCAGGGGGTCGGCAGCGCTTCGCTCCCGACCCCCAGCATTTTAAAACCTTCCCGGGACACGGGGAGATTTTAAAATGCTGGGGGGTCGGCAGCGCTTCGCTCCCGACCCCCAGCATTTTAAAACCTCCCCGGGACACGGGGAGATTTTAAAATGCTGGGAGTCGGCAGCGCTTCGCTCCCGACCCCCAGCATTTTAAAACCTCCCCGGGACACGGGGAGATTTTAAAATGCTGGGAGTCGGCAGCGCTTCGCTCCCGACCCCCAGCATTTTAAAACCTCCCCGGGACACGGGGAGATTTTAAAATGCTGGGGGTCGGCAGCGAACGCTTCGCTCCCGCCCGCCAGCATTTTAAGATCGCCCCGGGCAGGCGGGGGGAAGGCAGGCGGGGGGAGCAAAGACTTTTGCCCCCCGCCGGCCTTCAGAAGAGGTCCTCTTCTGAAGGCCGGCTGTGGGCGAAAGTCTTTGCTCCCGACCGCCAGCATTTCCCTATGGGCTTTCGTCTTGCGATGCAAGCCCATAGGGAAATTCGTCTTGCGAAGCGCCTCCAAAACAGAAAACCCTTTCGTCTTGCGGGTTTTCCGTCTTGCGAGGCATTCGTCTTGCGGGGTACCACTGTACTGGACTCAATGGCCCTCTGTTGATTTATCAGAGCTTTCCCTGAAGTCTAACTTGGGCGACAACCCCATGGGAAAAATGTTAACCAACTAAATTAATTTATTGAACTAAGAGCAGCTATTGCAAACCAGCCGGGTATAAATGCTGCAAGTTAATAAATGAAATAAATTAAATAAAGTGGGATGGAACGGACTTGGGCTGCAAGTAAATAAATAAAATTACAGATAATCGCATGCAAAAGCGACACAGATCAGCTGCAGTCTGACCGGCTCCTCCTTCGCACAGCCTGATGGGCAGGGAAAGGATTCTCTGCAGTTTGCTCACCGATGGGTCCTGTTGCTTTCCTCAGGATGGTCCCTGGATTGGCCAGGGGAATGGCATCTGGCACCAAGTCATCGTACCACGTGGGGACCGTCGTCTTTGCCATCGGCAGGTCGTTTTCCGACGGCGGAGCCTGCTCTGCAGCCTCGAGCAGAAGGATCTGGATTCAAGTCACAACAATCAACCGGAGCCCCAAACAGCTTGAGAGACCAGTTTAAGGTCATCTTGTGAGGTCATCTTACCCTTGTGAGGTCATCTTACCCCGCAAATGCCCGCTCCAACCAATTTGACCTGCAGAACTGGGACTGTTACAGAGGCCACATGATACTCGTTCAGCCAAACCCCTCAGCTTCTCACAGCAGCCCTATCACTATTCAAACCCTTGTTGTTGTTTAAAACCACCATTTAAAAACCTGTCTTCTCTTTTTGCTCCTGACTTCAAAAGCACCAACTTCTGAAAAAGATTGCAGGGGCCCGACACAACGTCCTGACATCATCATCATCATCATCATCATATACTTATACCCCACCCCTCTGGCCTGGCCTCCCCAGCCACTCTGGGCGGCTCCCCACAGAATATAAAAAATATGATAAAACATCAAACATCAAAAACTTCCCTAAACAGGGCTGCCTTCAGATGTCTTCTAAAAGTCAGGTAGTGGTTTATTTCCTTGACATCTGATGGGAGGGTGTTCCACAGGGCGGGTGCCACCACCGAGAAGGCCCTCTGCATGGTTCCCTGTAACTTGGCTTCTCACAGTGAGGGAGCTGCCAGAAGGCCCTCTGAGCTGGACCTCAGTGTCCGGGCAGAACATTGTGGTTGGAGACGCTCCTTCACGACATTGCGAGGAGCCAGGCATGGACCTGAACACAGTGGTAGCATGGCCCCACAGGCCAGCGGTCTCCACTCTCCAACTCCCCCTGCCTCACAAGTGAAAGATGGGGGAAGTCACCGTTGGCCAGTGGTGGCTGCAGCAGCGGGAGCCGCCAGCCACCAAAGCCAAGCCGCTTTCGGCTCCATGTTCGCCCTCTTCCACCCTCTGAATAATGGAGATGGTGGCCCCCTCATAAAAAAAAATTGGAAGGCCCCAAATTGCCTTGGCCTTAGGAGTTGTTGCCTATGCGTGTCTTCATGCAAATCAAGGACTGTGATGAGCCAATCCTCCAATAAGGGCTGCATGATGATGGCCTTACATTTGTATGTATATAGGTGGCGCTGTGGGTAAAAGCCTCAGTGCCTAGGACTTGCCGATCGAAAGATCGGCGGTTTGAATCCCCGCGGCGGGGTGCGCTCCCATTGCTCGGTCCCAGCGCTTGCCAACCTAGCAGTTCGAAAGCACCCCTGGGTGCAAGTAGATAAATAGGGACCGGCTTACTGGTGGGAAGGTAAACGGTGGTTCCGTGTGCTGCGCTGGCTCGCCAGATGCAGCTTTGTCATGCTGGCCACGTGACCCGGAAGTGTCTCCGGACAGTGCTGGCCCCCGGCCTCTTAAGTGAGATGGGCGCACAACCCTACAGTCGGACACGACTGGCCCGTATGGGCAGGGGTACCTTTACCTTTACCTTTAGGAAGAAAAAAATTCATTTTTTCCATTTTGGAAAAGCGGGACCGCGTTATAGGAAACTACAGCCATGCAGAAATGATGCGGGTCGTTCTATCAATCCCATGCAGAATCAATCGTATCTATGATTTGTGTCATGTTATTTTGTGACGTTCCGATCATCCTGGTCTGCTTCTTCCACTGGACTGGGGGACACCAGCTCAGGTCAAATACTGGAAGGTTTGAGACAGAGTGCCTGGAAGCTGGGATTTTTAGCAGACATTTAAGCCACACTCTGGAGGGTTTTTGTTAAAAGATGTGGGCAGGTTTCACAATAACAGGCTAGGGAATGTGGTCATGCGAGGAATCTAGTCATTAAATGGGGCCTCAAAGAGTGTGTGTGGATCAGGGCTGTCCTCACAGCCAGATGAAGGACACTCGTGGCCTGAATGCAAAGCCACGGAGAAGGATGGATCAGGTGCAGAGGAGCTCGGGGGGCATCTTGTCCAAAAACAAAGGAGATGCATCACCAAAAGGAAGAGGTGAACGAGGCCCCAGGTTTGCATGTGCTAATTTTAGGTAGATCACTGCAGATGGTGACAGCAGCCACGAAATTAAAAGACGCCTGCTTCTTGGGAGAAAAGCAGTGATAAACCTAGACAGCATCTTTAAAAGCAGAGACATCACCTTGCCAACAAAGGTCCGTATAGTAAAAGCCATGGTTTTCCCAGTAGTGATGTATGGAAGTGAGAGCTGGACCATAAAGAAGGCTGATCGCCGAAGAATTGATGCTTTAGAATTATGGTGCTGGAGGAGACTCTTGAGAGTCCCATGGACTGCAAGAAGATCCAACCTCTCCATTCTGAAGGAAATCAGCCCTGAGTGCTCACTGGAAGGACAGATCATGAAGCTGAGGCTCCAATACTTTGGCCACCTCATGAGAAGAGAAGACTCCCTGGAAAAGACCCTGATGTTGGGAAAGATGGAGGGCACAAGGAGAAGGGGACGACAGAGGACCAGATGGTTGGACAGTGTTTTCGAAGCTACCAGCATGAGTTTGACCAAACTGTGGGAGGCAGTGTAAGACAGGAGTGCCTGGCATGCTCTGGTCCAGGGGGTCACGAAGAGTCGGACATGACTAAACGACTAAACAACAACAAATTTGTAGGTATGAGTGCAAATTTAGAAAAAAATACTAGAACTGTCTATCTCACTAAACACAGAATCTTCAAATATCTTAGCTCACTCTGCCCAACAAGGTGATTCTGTGGATCCCACAAGCAGGACCCGAGTCCAGTAGCCTTTGCCTCCTCGTGTTCCCCAGAAACTGGGCCTCTATGTGGACATTGTAAAGCAGGGATGGGGAGAGCCTGCAGCCCTCCAGATGATGATGGACTGCCCCAACACCCATCAGCCTCACCTGACATAGTCACCGGGGAGGGAGGATGGAAGTTGTAGTCCAATAACATCTAGAAAGCTACCAGGTTTGGGGGAAGCTGGTCTAAAAAATAGGAAGCCCACCCCACAGTCTCCCATTGAACAAAACCTTGCTGGCTATATGAAGCAAGCTTTGAATGTTTAGCCTGCAAAAGAGGAGACTAAGAGGAGGTATGATAGCCAGCTTCAGATATCTACAGAGCTGTCACATGGAAGAGAGAGAAAGCTTGTTTTATCCTTCTTCAGAGGGGAGGATCTGAACCAATGGCTTCAAGTGAGAAGAAAGGAGATTCCGACTAAACATTAGGAAGAACTTTCTGACAACTAGAGCTGTTTGATAATGGAATGGAGTCCCTTGGAAGGTGGTGGACTCTCCTTCACTGGAGATTTCTAAACAGGGGTTGGATGGCCATTCTTGGGCTGTGACTCCATCACTGCAGGGGGTTGGACTAGATGACCCCTGGGATCCCTTCCAATTCCAAGATTATGTGATTCTAGGGCATAAGAGCCCTTAGCCTATCCAACTCTTCCTTGAGAAGCTTATTGTTTTAAACTGTTTCAAATATAGTGCAATATTGTATTTTAATATTAATGTGTTTTAATTGTTGTAGCCCACCCTGGAACCTTGGGGTGAAGGGCAGGTAACATATAGTAAAAGGAATAAGAATAAGAATAATACTTTACCTTGGCTTCAAGGGTGTTCAGCCTCTCAGTCATATCTGTGAGTCTCGTGCAATTCATACATTCTAAAAGGGGGGACAGGGGAAACACAGTTAAAAACAAATCAACAACATTTGGAAATATTTGCCACTATTTTCATTTTCATGTATGTATTAACATTTATTAACAAAATAAAAAAAAATCCTTCCAGTAGCACCTTAGAGACCAACTAAGTTTGTTATTGGTATGAGCTTTCGTGTGCATGCACACTTCTTCAGATAAGCTCATACCAATAACAAACTTAGTTGGTCTCTAAGGTGCTACTGGAAGGATTTTTTTTATTTTTTTTTGACTACGGCAGACCAACACGGCTACCTACCTGTAACTTTAACATTTATTGTTTGCTTCTGCCCAAGTGTTCAGCCAAAAAAGACTTTCTGAGTGGCAGATTCTAAGAAGTTATTTGTATTTGGCACAACTAAATGTCAAGAAATACCCTCTTTCCTAGGTTGAATATGAAAATAAATAAGCGGTTGGCTTCAAGATGCCATTCCCTTTCCCTCAGGGGGAATCGTGGTTGTCAAATCACAATGAGAGTTGCAAAGAACCACCAGTGTATCTGGGGACTGTCAGCCATAATTTTTCAGCAGGTATTGGTTAAGAAGAAAGTCATTTTGGGTGTGGGGGGGAAACATCTCCACTCCCAATCCCCATCATTCAATGAACTAGTTTATTAGATCAACTATAGATTAATGAAATCTCCTCTAGGGACAAATATTTATATTAAGAAGCAAAAATACGCGAAAAGATCCTTCAATGGTGCGTATTGATCTCCAAACCAAGGAACGTCGTTTTCTTTCATTACAGATTAGTTGCAAGATTCTCAGCAGTTTTAGCAAATACAGTGGTGCCTCGCAAGACGAAATTAATTCATTCCGTGAGTTTTGTCGTCTTGCGATTTTTTTCGTCTTGCGAAGCACGGTGTCGGGAAAGTTTTGGAAAAGCTTCAAAAATCACCAAAGTCTTTAAAAACCTCAAAAAAGGCTACCACACCGCGTTCTATGAGTTGCTCCTCGAAGTCAAGGCGCAACTGTATTAACGGTGTTAAGAAAAAGGAAACAAACTTGCAAGACGTTTCCGTCTTGCGAAGCAAGCCCATAGGGAAAATTGTCTTGCGAAGCAGCTCAAAAAACAAAAAACCCTTTCGTCTAGCGAGTTTTTTGTCTTGCGAGGCATTCGTCTTGCGAGGTACCACTGTAACGCTTTTCAAACACATTTGCAGCAAACAGGCAAGGAAGCTAATTTTTCTGACCTTCTGTAAAATTGGATCATTTATTAATAAGTTGGGGCACAGATCTCTCTCTCAGATTGATCTATTGGTTGATCTATTGATTTATTATAAATAAATAAATACCCAAGAGCATAGCTTGGAAATGTGGAGCAGAATTCTCTTAGCGACATTTGTTGCTCGTGGCCATTCTTGTAAATTGCAGGACCGACTGAGAGCAGCCTGCCACCCTCCAGGTTCAATAACGGCATCCAAAATAACTATGGGACTCTCTTATGAGGAAAGCTTGCTGTGATGGGGACTTTTTCATTCATAAAAAGGCCAGTAAGAGGTGGCATGAGAGAAGTCTATAAAAGGATGAATGGCATGGAGAAAGTAGGTGGATAAAGTTTGTCTCCCTCTTTCAAAACACTAGAATTCGTGGACACATCTAATGAAACTGAATGTTGGGAGATTCAGGACATAATTAAAACTATTGAACTCACTCCTCAAGAGGCAGTGATGGTCACCAACTTGGATGGCTTTAAAAGAGGATTGAACAAACCAGAGTCCTTCTTGTTGAGGATAATCCAGACTGAAATTCCCAGGTGTCCAAAAAAGTTATTTATGTATGCTGCTACTGTGGTCCGTGTTTTGTTAGCCCAAAAATGGAAAACGAGCAAGGTCCCAACCAAAGAAGAATGGCAACTTAAGTTGACAGAGTATGTGCAACTTGCAGACTTAACATATAGAATAAGAGAACAGGAACAACATACGTTTAGAGAAGACTGGAAAACGTTTATTAATAATATGGGAAATAACTGTGTACAGCAGAGAATGCTCGCAGTGTATTGTTCGACAGTGTAAATAGGTTTTGACGGATGTAATAACGGAATACTGAACGGTATGGCTTTTGTAAAATACGCAGGGATTTATGATATGTAAAATGAACCATGGAACGGGAAGAAGGGAAGTCATCGATATCTTAAGGATGTAAAAATGAGTACTTTAAAAAAAGTACTTTAATGAGTACTTTAATGAGTACAGAAAATTAAATAAAAAAATTATATGAAGAAAAAAGAGGATTGGGTAAATTCATGGAGAATTCGTGATTGCACCTGTAGAAGAAAAGGCATCTATTTGTAAAAAAGTTTAGCAAATTTAACCATTTTCAGAAGGGGAGGGGGGCAAAATTGGGCCAAACCTGCTAGTGAAGCTGGTGGCACTTGCTAGCAAACAGGCCAGGGCAGTGGGAGAGAAAACCATTTCCTCCCAGAAGTCCCCTAGGAATGTAATAGGAATGTACTTCTGTATCATCTTGGGATTCCCCCAGGTATGCAACAACTTCTCATCTTTCTGGTGACGGCCCCACTTTTGTTTCCAAGCTGACACCAATTTTGCTATTCGAGGGAATTCTAGTTGGGATCTGAATGCTCCTCGGACACGTGAGCGGGGATGCTAGAGGGGTTTTATTTCTGTGAATCCCAATGCCAACTTCTCTGATCTGCAGCTCCTGGGCTCACGCATGGATCATAGAATCATGGAATTGTAGAATTGGAAGGGACCCCAAGAGTCATTTAGTTCAAGCCAATGAAATGCAGGAATCTTTTGCGCAACATGGGGCTCAAATTCACAAGCCTGAGATTAAGCGTCTCATGCTCTTAGCGACTGATAATCCTTCCGTTTTCACACTTCTCCAAATTTAGCAGTGCAGTTCTCTGCCTAAGAATCATACTGGATATAACTGTGTGCTTTTAGGACATTTTTGATATGCAGTTAAATTTGCCTTCAAACATGAATTTTCATGCAAAATTTGTTTTAAAAAAAACATTTGCAGACAAGTACAGAAACAGGATGGAACGGAATTATGCATGAACACAAATAAATACTGACTGCACAAAGTTTCATCCATCCATCTCTTCCTTCAAGTATCAGAAGATAGAGACATACAACAGGAAGGGCCACTGCTTGTGGACTCACACATTTTATGAAATCAACCACTTGGACCAAGGCAATAGCAACGATGCTATATATCAAGCCACTAGATGGCAGCATTGGTAAAGCTATGGCCACAGTGTAGACCATCCTTCTCCAGCCTATGCTGGCTTGAGGCTGATGGGAATTGTAGTGCAAAGGAGCAGGGTGGGGTGGGGTGGGGGGAGGACAACAGGTTGGAGGAGAATCTACCAGAGAAGAAAAAGAGGGCGGGGTTAAGGTGAGCCTCCTACGGCAGGTTCTTCAGCAGCAATATTTTAAATGGCAGCAACAAATCGTTCTCTCTCATTAATGCCAAAACTCATAGACATTCAATGAAGAGGAATGGAGGAAGGTTCAGCAAACCTAGAACAAAGAATTCCTTCAGGGCAGGGCATGGTTAATCTACGGAACTCCCTCCCACAGGATTGTCACGGTTGCTGGAGCATGCTGGCCAGTAATCACACTGTTCGAAGTTGAACTCTTTACAGTCATACCTCGGGTTACAGCCGCTTCAGGTTGTGTTTTTCTGGGTTACGCACCTGCTGAAACCCAGAAGTACCGGAACGGGTTACTTCCGGGTTTCGGCAGTCGCGCATGCACAGAAGCGCTAAATCGTGCTTTGCACATGCGCAGAAGCGCAGAATCACAATCTGTGCGTGCGCAGACGCGCTGCTGCGGGTTGCGAACATGCATCCCGCACAGATCACGTTCGCAACCCAAGCGTCGACTGTATTAGCAAAAACACGAACCCCACAGATTTGGTTGAGTGTCAGGCCTAATGAGTGGAGCAGCTCGTTTCCAGTGGTCTTACTCCACGAAAATCAGTTGCCAAGACTGAAAGTCCCCTCCTCTCCAGGGCTTTGCCCTAGCAATCAGCCATGTAACGCAGGACGAGGAGAACCCTCCCAACCCCCCAGACCACTTGAAAATTGTTTGGTGTCTTGGCAGACCACTTAATGATTTCTCTGAATGCTGCAGCCATCATAACACACTGTGCTAGGGGCTGTATGATATCAAGCTGTGTTTATACACCAAGTTTCCTTTTATTGTAGTGTTTTATCGAGGCGTGTTCCATGCCCACCAGGACTTCAGTGGAAGGAAAACGTGAATGAACTGTAAGGCAAACTTCAAAGCAGCACCTTCTCTGACTGCAAACTGGAGAAATATGGGCCAATGGAGGGTTTCTAAGGCATTGGTTTCACTCTGGAAAGTCAGGTAATTCCATATGCCAAAAAAACAACCACATGTTTAAAAACAGTTCTTCCAAAATTCTCTTCCTTGCAAATTTCAGAAAGGTTCTGAGAGACTCCCTGCAAGTAGAAAACCAGATCTTCAGGGAGATAGCTTCTAATCCAGTCATTTGACTGGTTTTCTACTTGCAGGGATTTTAAAAAATGAAAGGAGGCATTCCAATGTGCCATTGATTCAGCTGCCTCATTCTTATATCTGTGTCATGCTTTCTTAACAGCCTTTGCAAAAACCCCAACAGCATCCCTCAGGGAGCTCATCTAGCAACTAGAGGATCTATCACTTACGGTTTCTTTCTGCCTAACCATTCCTTGGTGACGGATATCATTGACGCCATTTCCACATGGGACCCCAGAGGCCTGATTTTGCAGGAGGCCCGGCCGCTCAAGCTTACCATTTCAAGATAAATACAGTGGTACCTTGGTTCTCAAACTTAATCCGTTCCAGAAGTCCGTTCCAAAACCAAAGTGTTCCAAAACCAAGGTGTGCTTTCCCATAGAAAGCAATGCAAAATGGATTAATCTGTTCCAGACTTTTAAAAACAACCCCTAAAACAGCAACTTAAAAATTGATTTTACTATCTAACGAGAGCAT